TTTTTTTTTTTTTTTTTTTTTTTTTTTTTTTTTAATGCTCCGATCCAACTTTAATCGATGCATGTTGTTGTTGATCTTGGCGAAAGAACGCGAACAACGGTTTAATAGAGTTTAACGAGGGTGACAGGTTCCTTAGGATGCATACACCTGATATGTTGATAAACGTTGGACGTCTTCTTGCTGCACAAGGTGCAGTAAGGACACTTGTACCTCGGCGCCTTGCCGCATTCGTACCTAAAGTGACCCAACATAGTGTCCCGCCTGCCATAGCCGTTGTTACAGTTGGGACAGTGAAATTTCCCGGTGAACGCGTTGTACAGCGTGTCCCGTTTCCTCGCGAACTTCCTCGAATGCGCGACACGAAGATCGTCGAGTCGGTCACCTACAAAACATCGTATCACGGTAAAGATCGTAAACCAGCCCTGATTCTCACGGAGAGAGAGTGAGAGAGCTTTCTCGAACATCGCCTTACAATCGAGACGCAAAAAACGAGAGGGAACACAGGAGATATCATGCAAAACAGGATATTAGCGTGGGAATAGAGTACATCGACCAATATGCGAAACAATATGAAAGCCGATGTGCACTCTTTAGTTGTTTCTGAGTATTTCGCAGAATACACCGAACACACGTGTTTGCTCTTGCTTTTCCCACAAAAGATTCTTTATTCTTTCTCAAACTTTCAAACGTCTGTCTCACTGACAAATCGGCCCGAGCTTACAACACACGACTAACTTGGTTGGCTCGGATACGAAACAACATTTCCACGGTTGCACCTCTGCATTCAGTTGATCGTTTCCATCGAACACCATTGGCCGTATCATCGTGATTCAAAATGTACGAAGCGCGGGACAATCGCGCGATTCGACGAAAAAAATTCGAGGAATTTGAATGAATCGAACGACCACTCGACGGGGTGGAAAGGATTACGGATCGAAAGAGATCGGCCGTGAGACGAGACCCGTTTGCGAAGAAGTGACCGTGAAGGCGTATACGGACCGTCGTTGACCAACGATGTGTTCGCATCGATATCGGTTCCAGGAACGCGCGATACATCACGTCGACACAGGGAAGACAAACGATGGTCCTAAAACAAGGTGTTACAGATGACAGGCTTGGACGGGTGCTTGTGCCGTATGTGATCCTGGATGTTGAACTTTTTCTTGCTTAACTTGCCACAATAAGGACACTCGAAACGTGGCGGTTTGCCGCAATCATACTTGAAGTGGGCCGTTACCGCGCTCTTGGTCGTGTAACTCTTTCGACAACGTGGGCAAGGAAATCGGGTCTTACTCTTTCTCGAGCTTCGCTCCAGATATTTGTCCTCGATCCAAGGTAGCGGCAACATTTGCAGAAAAGCTGAAAACAAAAACGGAACAGATCGGTTAGTTGGAATTTTTGGGAACCTCGCTCGAGACGCTCCTCGAAATCGAATAAGTTGCTTTTCTTTTCTTTTCTTTTCTTTTCTACGCTTTTTCTGCCCGCGGCATCATCGTTCACACCGATTCCTCGAGTGAAAACTTTCGAAGTGTTAAGTCCGTATGTGCAAGGGATCGTTGGTGAAGAAGAAGATAAAGATGAATGAAACAATTTCTACGATTGCTCATGAAAGTGTTCGATCACTTATAGAAGCTTTCCATGAATATATGTATCATCCGTGTTATAAAACATGTTGTGGAGACATTTTATTAACATTCTGTCATGATTATAAAAATCAGAATTTGAAACAAATACAAAAAAAGACATGTAGAGATTACCAGGTATACAATACAAATATAAGCGCCTCACGGAGATCGTAATAGTATTTAAAATCTTATTTTAAGCCTCGATATTCATACATACAATGGAATTTATTCATGATTAAAATAGCATGCTGTATAATTAAATATTTGACAATTTCCTATGAAATGTATGTGCAATATATATCTGATAATTTCTACAGGCTGTCTTACCTAAATTTGCCACCTCAAATATCTCTGAACAAAATTTTATTAACGTTATTGTTTAGTACAGAGGGAGCCATAACACAGTAGTAATGATTCTTCTTCTTTTTTTTTTTTTTTTAAGTGAAATAGTATCGAGGATTTGAAAGTCATCCTCACCTTTTTAAATGAAATGATGTTTTTTCATTCATTAATCGATACAGCTCAAAATTCTCCATAAAAGAAATATTAACCTGCGTATGTAGAAAAGTTATTAGTTGTTAACTTTAATTCTGTAAAATGTATTCTATATACGACGAAACACAGTATTCATGTGTTTATGACTTCATATATCATTCCATTTAAAAGAGTGACGGTGATCTGCTAGATTCCTCCACTTGTAAAAAAGAAACATTACTGTTACGTGCTTCACCTGCACCGAATAATGCTTTGTTAATGAAACTTTTCGATATTTCCAAAAATAATGGAGACACGTGGAAGTGGCAAGCTTAGGTGGCGTATTCTGTATGCATTTTCAGATTTTATCGAAATATAATCGTCGCAGCGTTAATGAACTTCCGTATTGTTTCATACAACAAGGATGATATATAAAAATTCTTCTGCAGTAAAAGCGTTGGAATATTTTCACGGACCACTGTATCCGAAGATTGTGCTTCCAGGCTCACACACACATACGCGCCTCAGTTTCTTCGTCAAGTTTTCAGACAAACAAATAAAGCGATTGCAGACATCTTCAAGCTGTATGTACGAGAACAAAATTGATCAGAAAGAATTCGCAAAAGGACGCGACGATGATTCGAGAAGCAAGCCACTGCTGTTGCGGTTCATTTCTTCAATGTCGGACGTCCTTGACCGATTCACCGATTCTCTACCTGCAAATTAATTTGCACGCTATTAATCGTTATACCACCTAAGAAAGGCCTGGATGAAGAGTATCATTCAACGCGGGAATTGAAGGACAGTGGTGAACTATGCAAAACGTTCTTGTCATTTCTTTATCAACCACACACTTTATTTGTTATCAAATGTTATCAGTCAAAAGAAGAGAATGAAATAAATTGTTCATTGTTGTCAAATGTTATCAGACAAAAGAAGAGAATGAAATAAATTGTTCATTGTTGTTCGTACTGAAGTACAACGACCTCGAGCTTCGATCCGGGATGCTTGAGACGTATATGTTTGTAAACGTTGTTAGACTGTTTGCTCCTCATTCCGCAATAGGGGCACTGAAACCTCGGCGGGCTGCCACACTCGAACTTATAGTGGCGTAACATATGATGTAAGTGTCGGTAAGTCCTCTCGCACTTTGGACAATTATACCTGATCGCATCATCGTAATGTTATATTGAAATCGCTGAATATCGTTCGATTTTGCTCGCGGACTCGAACACTAGGAAACGTAAATAGGAAACCGCGACCAGACAACAGATCAGACTAACCTATTGTTATCGTTGCTCTCGTGCTTCTTCCCTAGCCGGCAATAACGCTGTTGTTGCGGCTCCACTTGTAGATATTGATCCATACGATAATGAAAAGTCGACGATTCCGGCAAATACATTGCCCCTGAAATCATAAGCAGAGAGGATTGCGATGAAACGTGTTTCTTTTAACCGACCGTAATATCGTCATCGATTGTTGAAAGACATAAAAAGGAACGAGGAGATCAGAGAAACAAGGGGGGAGGAAGAGAGAGAGAGAGAGAGAGAGAGAGAGAGGGGCAAAGGGAGGTGGAGAAATAAGAATAGATAAACAAACCTAGAGCAATGTTCTTTTGCTTTTCATTGGCGTGATTAGAATTTCAGAAAATCGAAAAACTTTCGATTTATCAAATAAATGAACGTTTATTGTAGACATACTACTTGAGCTTACAAGCGCATATTCCCGTTCTTTCAATCGATATTCCCGTGAAAATTGTTCGAAATGTCGGGACTTTACTAGGCCGTATCTAAATGAAAGAGGCGAGACTTTCTTTGAGATCCGAT